GACAGAGAGCAGCGGCAACTCCTGTCCTCCCAGAGTCTCTTCTAATATCTAAGAAATCTCCTTTAATTTATCATCTTGTTTAGGGTTGAACAATTTCAATTTATAATTTATAATTTATTGTATTTTAAAAAAAAAAAGTAGCTCATTCTATTATTACATAATCACCAAATACATTCTAGGTTTATTTAGTGTGGTGGTGAGACTGCAATAATATTGCTTGATTAATTTGATTTGCTTGTAAAATTGTGGTTATTTGGAATTCATGTATTTCTTAAAAAGTGCATTTATCCGGTTATATGTTTCAAATTGACACCAGACTATCATATTATTTTCTGTAATCACAGCTAATGAAGAATCAAAGAATTGATTTCTTTATAAAGAAGGTGAATTCTCAATCTCGTGTTTCATCTTCATCAAATTTAGTGGGTGAGCCCTCTTTCCCCATTCCAGTAGAGGTTGTGGAGGTTCTAACAACTGATCTTGAAAGTTGAAGCTTCTTCACATGAAGTACCTCTACCAAAGGTCCCCCGACTTAAAATTGCATCACTTGATAGTTTGTCTATGGAAAGAGATCCCGGAAAACATCCACATATATGCTCTTATGGTGTGGATCAACAAGATGAAGTTAGAAGAACTTACATAAGGCAGGCCCTTAACGTTCAAATTAAAATAGGCGTTTCCAGTATTCTTGGTTCAAATTATTTCCAGATGGGCTCTAATACACTCCAAGTAAAGATATTATATTCTGTTTGTCATGCTATTTATGTGCTAAACCAAATGGGCGTTTTGGTTCTGGAGCATTTACAATAGAAGGGTTTAGATAATGGAAAAAGGTCAATGATGGAGAAATTTGTGCTCTATTAACTCATGTTGGAAGGGATCCCAATTCACCCCCAAAAAAGAGCGGTTGTGTATTGTCTTGATCAAATGAATGAAGCACAACAAATTCAAAAAGCCATTCAAAAAACAAACTTCTCAAAAGATTGCCAACAACTGAGTATTACTCAAGACCTCAATTGATGTTGTTAGATGGCTCACCTTTCAAGCATGTGAAATGAGAGGACATAATGAACGTCTTGATTCACCCAATCCAGGTAATCTTCTCCAATAGGTGAAATTATTGACATCTTATAATGAACATGTGTCTTCACTGGTGCTTGATAAAGCTGCTTGTAATGCCTCTTATACATCACCTCGCATCCAAAAAAAGACATTGCATATTTTTCAAAGAAAGTTCAGAAGTTATTCGAGAAGATATTGGTGATGCCAAATAGTGCATTCTTGTTGACGAGGCTAGCGATGAATAAAAAAAGGGAACACATGACTATTATTTTAAGGTTTGTTGATAAACATGGTTGTCTGATGGAACGATTTTTTTATATTGTTCACGTTCCCGATTCTACCTCACTAACTAAGAAATTTGTGATGTTCTTAGAAGGCACAATCTTAATGTGGGGGATATTCGAGGTCAGGGATATGATGGAGCATGCAATATGCGTGGAGAATGGCCCGGATTACAATCACTTATTTCTAATGAGTGTTTGTATGCTTATTATATACATTGCTTTGCTCGTAGACTATAATTGGCCTTAGTTGCAGCTGCCAAAGAGGTTATTCATGTTCATCATTTCTTTGAAAAGGTGAATACAATAACCAATGTTGTTGCTGCTTCTTGTAAATGGAATGATCAATTACAAGCCGCACAAGCTAAAGAAATTGCAAGATCAATTCGTATTGAAGAGTTAGAGACTCGGAGAGGTTTAAATCAAGTAGGTACTTTAAAGATGGCAAACGAAACAAGATGGAGCTCACATTTGAATTCTCTAAGAAGTTTGAAAATCATGTATGTGGCTATTTGTTCAGTTTTGAAGAATATAATTTCTGATGGAACCACATATGCTCAACGAGCGGATGCAGATGCAGTTTAAGATGGAATAACTTCTTTTGAGTTCATTCTTATTTTTCACATTATGATAGATACTTTGGAAATCTCATATGATCTTTGTCAACCTTTACCGTGCAAGTCTCAGGATATTGTGAATGTGATGAATCTTGTCACCATAACAAAGACATTGATCCAGAAGTTAACAGAAGATGGGAGGGATCTCTTGTTTGGGAAACTGAAACTATTCTGTGAGAAGATGGGTACTGATATCCCTAATATGACTGACAATTACATTGCAATTAGAGACCGATCACGTTGCTTAAAGGATCCAAACACAATGGCACATCACTTTCAATATGATATTTTTATTGCTACAGTCGATTCTCAGTTACAAAAACTGGACGAGAGATTTAGTGTTAATATGATGGAATTGCTTTTTCTTTGTTCTGCTTTAGACCCTCAAGATGATTACAAATATTTTAGAATTGATGACGTCTGCAAGCTCGTTGACAAATATTATCCTGATGATTTCTCCAGACAAGAAAAATTACATTTCAGATTTCAATTGGAGCACTTTGAACTTGACATTCATTAATTCCCAAGCCTTGAAAATTTGTCAACAATTTCAGAGCTTTGTTAAGAGTTAGTGAAGACAAGAAAGTCAGAGATATACCCTCTCGTTGATAGATTGGTTCGACTTGTGTCGACTCTTCCGATTTCTACCGCTAGCGGTGAGCGTGTCTTTTCTGCTGTGAAACTTGTAAAGACAATGCTTTGAAACAATGGAAGATGACTTTTTAACAATTTATTTGATCGCATATATTGAGAAGGAAATTGCACAATCCTTTGATACTGACACCGTTATTGATGAGTTTTGTGATATGAAAGAAAGAAGATTGCAATTCAAGCTTCCTAAATAAAGTTTATTGGCACGGGTGAGTATTTTATTTGTCTTTTACCATAAAGCTATTATATTCTATAAAGGTTATCATATCATACTGTACTAGTTCGATCTGTTTATATTTGGTGTGTGAAGGTCTTGAAGGTGTTGAACATCCAACTTTTACACTTCCTCTATTATATTCAACCTTGAATGTTTGAAGGTGTTGAACAAGCTACAACTTGTGTGCTTATATTTTTTGTTTTTGAAGTGTGCTTACATTGTTAAGGCACACGATGTTGACTTTATATCTTTTTTTAATGAAATGTAAATTTTATTAGCACCCAAGAAAAATAACATAGTACAATGTGTCGGAAAAGCTACCAAAGTCAATCTATCTAAGCTAGTCAAGAGTCAAGACTAACCTAAATGATCAAAATCAGAGTCAAGAGTCAAGCAATCTACTCGATAATATCTCGTATTATCTTTTGTTTGTCTTTCCTTTCTTCTTTCATGCTTCATCAAACATTCTTAAATCAAATTGAAAAGATATCCTCGTTTTCCCATGAGTCTCATCCTCGTCTTCCTCTTCAAAAGTCTCTTTACCGTCATTTTTGTCGTTGCCCAAAACAGGTTCTTCTCTAGTTGTTTTGCTAGTAGTAGCCTTGGTAGAAGTTGCTTTCTGTGTGACAGCCTTAGCAATGGTTTCTGAAGGTACCACCGGCTTGGCATTCTTCTTACCCTTCTTCATTCGTACTTCCACAAATTCACCATCCAAATCTTTTGGTTTCGGCACAACTATGGCCTTCGTAGTGGGCTGCTTTAGTGGCTTTGGCAGCCTCTAATTCTGCCGGTACAACTTTGGCCTTTGTTGTTGGCTTCTTGATGATTTTGTTAGCCTTAACTTCTTCTGGTTATCCCCTTTCGGCCCTTTCCTTGGCTGTCACTAAATTGCAAACAAATGGATGATGTCCATGTTGCTTTCAATGGAAGAAATAATTCAAAAATGTTTCATATAAAACCCGTTGCTTGATGATTTTCCTTGAAGATATGTGGATTGGAAAAGAGAGAGGAGGTGACTTTGCCACGTCCACTTCAATTAAAACTCTAGCAAAGTTATGATTTACCATTTCAAGTGTTACCCTATCCGTAGTGAATGGAACTCCAACTTTGGATGCAGCCTAACTTATAGTATCCTTGTTCCACAACCTCAAAGGGAGCCTTGGGAAATTTACCCAAATTGGTACCTTCAAGAACTCATCATCTTCAAAATTGACTGTATATCTAATATTATATCTAGTATTACATTGGTGTGTGATTTTGTCCAAATTTGATGATCATTTTTATGATTATATAAAGTCATGCTTAATTTTGTGGTAATAAATTTTTGCTTCAATAATCTTTTTGGCCCCTGCACACAAAAATCATGCCTCCACCGTTGGCCACAAGTACCCCACCACCTAGCATGGAACTATAGTGGAAATACTACTCCTATTAGATTGTCATTTTTAACACACTCCCATGTCATTCAATTCATATAGATAGTATGATATTAGTGTATGGTTCATTAATTTTATTCAAATTAGGTCCAACTAAAAACATCAACTAAAATTATCAAACTCACCAAACATGTATTCGTTGAAAGCATTTGGTTGATTTTTTATCTCTAATATACGGAGTATATCAAGATATAAACGTAGTCCTCAAAGTCAACCCTCCAACATCTTCCAAAAAACAATTAACCCCAACTGACCATAAGAATAGTGGAAATGCCCCAACTGTAACAGCTGTATAGGTGGTGCAATGCTTTTCACGGGAATATACAGTTTCTATCTCCATTTTTTGAAGTCAACTGCAGGCCATCAAGTGCACTACTATGTACAGAATTTGAAGCAATATAATAACATGTAGTGGGTCTAGCATGGTCTCATAAATTAAACCCTGCCGTTTGTGATTTTCACCCACACGTGGCACAACTTGAACCGGGCTACATGCATTACATAGCATAATAGCGTTGTTATTGGTGTTGTTAATTTGTTATTGTTGTGATTATTGAATAGAAACTCTTGAAAAAGAGTACATTTCCTAAAACAAAAACTTTTAAAGACTCTTAAAATAGTTGTTTTTCTATTATATTCGGCATTTCCAATTTCACATTTTCCCATGATTTGCACATTTTCATGCAACATAATACTATTATGATGATGTAACATCATTATTTTTTGTAAAGAACGTGCAAATTAAAGTAGAGTAGTACTTAATTATTCCAAACCATTCTCCAATATATATATATATATATTGTGATAAAGATAAAGAGAAGTAGACAGCACACCTAAGTCCATATCAACATCAATAATTAGATCTACCCCAACCGTGCTGGATCTAATTAACTAATTATAATGGTTAATATGGCAAACTAATCTCATCAAGATCATCGTCTAATGACATGAAAACCTCATCCATGCATGAGAGCTCTATTCCATTGTCATCCTCATTTTCATTGTTTTCTTCATACACTCGACAAATGACCCATTTGCTGTAATCCTGGAAAAGGATACATATATTTAAACACATATTTTATATGTATATCTTTAACTCACTGATTCTAACTACTAATCGATATACTGTTTGATTGTGCATCCCATCAAAAGCTTTCCATTTGTATTTTAGGAAATAATAAATAGCATTTTTAAGTTATAAATTATTTATCAAATATTGAAATTAATACACCTATAAGTCTATAACATCACATTTATTATCAATGAGCTCGATCATTTTGTTATATGCCCTCAAAACTATTTCTCAAAAAGTACTTAAAAGTTAAGCCATGAAGAGGTGGTATTTCTTTTTCTTAGCTAGACTGATCTTGTACTCCCATAATCACCATAGAGAAATTAAATCTTTATTTTATTTAGAGAGTTAATTTCACTTTGGGCTATTCTATAAGTTTTGTACGAATTTCACATTTAGCCTACGTTTTTTACTTTATCCCTTTTTTTGTATTTGAGTAATGTCTTTTTGGTCATTTGTGACCCCTTTGTCCAATTTTGTGATGTCCCTTCCGCGATTTAACTATCAAAAATACTCATAGAAGAATCATATATGAGTGAAAAATAATACTATTCTCCGTATCGCATTAGTTGCAACATAACAAATTACACACTATTCATGTACTTGACTTTGATTATATTTTATTTTTAATGTATGTAAATTACGGAGTATTATTTTTTGAAAAATATTGTTGAATTCGTCTTATTAATTATTTTTGAAAAATCTTAATGGGACTCTCTGATTTTTAATTATTTTTATTAATGCAGAATTAAATATAATAACAGTTAAAGTTGTGCATTAACTGAAAAAGTGATGTTGCAACTAAAATGATCAAAGTCAAAAGGAGAAGACTTACAATGACATTTGAATGATCACTTTTTCTAATTCTAGATGTTGGTTTAGTGCCGGTAGTTGATGCAGAATGATTAGAGAGCCTGTACTCGTGCATTATCCAATCTGTTTTGACAGCACCTTCCGTCTGTTCGCCGACGTAAAAAGCATAGCATTTCTTCACGCCAACCTTATCGGCGGCGGCGCCGGAACTGCAGAAAATCGGCTCATCAACCCCTACCGCCTTCCAGAATCCATTTTCCGTTGTTCTGCTAGAGGCTCTCCTGCTATAAAAATACCACTTCTTCCCTTCTGCCATTGCTTTCCCTAGCATTTCGAAAATGCACGTCAACATCGTTTTCATAGTTTCATACTAAGTACTAACTTAATAATAAAAAAAAGAGAGATTCGAAGAGTTACTTGAATCATACGGAGTATAAGAGTCTTTAGAGTCCCGATCCTGTCAGGCCGGCCTGGCGGGAACCGCCGTCAGGCCGAGGCCATCAGAGGCCCTTCCCGTTAGAATTTTTTGATGAAATATTTTGAACATGTTCCTCATCAAGTCTAGTTTATCCATACCAAATTTAAGCTAAAAAGTCAATCGGGAAGGCAGTCAAAAAAATTCCCTACTAAAACTGCGCAGTTTATATATAAATAATGCACAGTTTTAGTAGGGAATTTTTTTGATTGTCTTCCCGATTGAATTTTTAGCTGAAATTTGGTATGGATAAACTAGACTTGATGAGAAACATGCTCAAAAAATTTCATCAAAAAAATCCACCGGGAAGGTCCCCAAATGCCCTCGGCCTGACGCGGTTCCCGCCAGGCCGGCCTGATACGATCTGTCCTCCGGAGTATAATACCTCCATTCTATTCGACATAATAGCTTTCAGTCATAAATTAACTACTCCGTATTTTAATGAGAAAGTTGGAAAAAAATTGGGACAATAAAAAAAGAGTTATGCTATAGGTACCCGGCCTATTTTGTGGTACCCCCATTTTTACCCCACATTTTGTTTAGTCCAAATGAGGTCACATTTAAATGAGTTGTCCCACTTAAATGTATTGTCCCATTTGGTTCACACAATAGGGAGGGGTAAAAATGGGTACCCTATAATGGGGTACGTATATCATTTTTTATAATAAAAAGTTGGTGAAGTGAAATGGAATAGAGGGGTAAAGTTCAAATAAGAAGAAGAGTCTCTTTGGTAATATCCAAATTCACTATATTGGTCGAGTTTGCTGAAATTTATGAAGTTTTGGTTGAAGTGTCTGGATTGACTGATTTAACTGATTTATGAAAAAATTAAATCTAAAATATATTTTATGAATAAAATAAAGAAAAATTTATATGAAAAAACAACTAAAATGATCTTCTACAATAAGTTCATCCAATACAGTCAGAAAAGTAATTTCACCCTTACTTTTTCTTATTATTACACAATTTACCGCGCAAAATCAAAAGTTTCGTGTTTGGTGAAAAAGTTGGTTGATAAGCCTGATAAGCCGAAAAACATGGTCACAAAATGAGCTCGAAGCCTTTGGGTAAGAAATGAGAATGCATCTTGACTATTTTGCAGTAAAAAAACACTTTATATTACACTAAAATATGCAAACTAGTTTGGTGACATTTTCTGAAAATTCGTATGATAGTTGTCTAGTGCAAGATTAAGTCGTTTTGGTGCAACAACGTCAAATATTAGTGCATCATGAAACAATTTTAATGTAACACTGCAAAATTTAAATTTTATTGCAACATGAAGCTATTTTTAGTGCAATAATATCATAAATCTAACCGTTGAAATTCATTCTCATTTTTCACATTAGTTGCATTTCTCCCTTAAATCAAATAGTGCGAGAAAGCCATTCATTAATAATTCTGACTATAATTTGTACAAAATTATTAATTACTGAGTATAAAACTTGATGTCCAAATCAATTAATAAAGTTAGTGACTAATAATAAACCAATTTACTCGAATAAATTTACAACTTGATGATATATACCAAACAAATTTAAAAGAAGGTACATTATAATTAATTAATTACTTATACCTTCCAAGTGCCATGGGTCAAAAGAGTGGAGGTTAAGATCGGGAATAACGTCAGGGTGGCACGGCAAGAGCGCCGCCCTGCGGTGGAGGAAATGCACCACTAGCTCCTCATCGGTGGGGGTGAAGCGGAAACCGGGCGGCAGATTATTAACGGTGTTAATGTCTCCCATATATTTTCTTCCACACTGCTAGCTAAGCTAAGCTAAGGTAGTAGAAAGAGTTATGTGTTTATATATAGGAGCTGATCGAGTAAGTACTTTTTTTTTATTTAAAGTGGATGGATCGATCGATATATGGATCCGTAGATTCTTTGATTAATTTATTGGATCATAATTAGTAGGCCGGGAAGTGTAGAAGAAATGATGCGAAGGCGGTTGGGGTGGAAGAGATTGATATTGTGGCCGGCAATTTATAAAAATAGTGCGAGCGGGAATTTCGAATGAAAATGGAGGAGTCAGAAGAGAGTGGATGGAGCTGACGTGGGATGGAACTATGGATGATGAACATACATCGTCATATGTCTTCACCTAGTGCCTTTTTCTTACTTTCTTTTTAAATGATCTCGTCGGTCCGTCGGAACTCTGTTGTGTGGTCAACATCATTTGAGGTCATTCTCGGTGAAAACTATTAATGAAATTTTTGGAGTATTTTCTTAATGAAATGTAGATAATGTCCAAAAAGATCAGATCAAAATTAAATAAAAAAGTCAGTTAAACAAAATTTTGAAAAACACGATGTAGATAAGTGAAATTTGTATATATCTTGACACAATATTCTTTAATGATTTATTTGACTGATTTCCAATTGAATTTTAAGTTGAAAAGTTTGTAAAGTACACAAACATAATCTACACTTTATGAAGAATATGCCGAAACATTTTACCGAAACTATCTCAAATGGTCTTGGCTGCACGGCGAATTCTCTACAAGTTTAATGTGTTTATTAATGCAACTGTAGATATTAATCATGTGAACCGCGCTCAAGATCGACTTAAGGAGTGTTTGGGATTGATTAAAAAAAGCGTTTTTCAGCTTTTGGCTTAAAAAAGTTGAAAAGAGTGTTTTCAAATGATAGCTTCTGCTTAAATTAATCACTTAAAAGTTAAAAGCTGGAAGCAGGTAGAAGGATGCTTTAAACTGCTTCTCACTTTTTCTATTACACAAAAAGTACTTATTTTACCAAACACTACCAACTTTTACTTTTTCAGAATCATTTTTTTCTCAAACACTACCAACTTTTACTATTAATCACTTTTCCCAAAATCACTTTAAAAAATCAATTTTTTGAAGTTGAAGCAATCGCAAACACTCCCTTAGATGCAATCACGTCTCATAAAGAAAATTTTAGTTTTGATTTGATACGAAAAATGTGAAATTTTACCTCACATGCTTTTGAGGAATTGATATCAGAAGTCGTTTATTCAAAATCAACCACTTTATCTAGTTAGATTTGTTTATTATATCACAAAATCATTGAAATTTTGTAAGTTATTGCCTTATTGGTAATTAGTAATTCAAAACCATCTTAAAACTAACTATTGTTGGTAATTGATCAATCATCAGCAAAGTGAAAGGCCTAGTAATCACTTATTATGAGCTAAAGTGAGATTGATCTCGATATGTTTTACCTTCAAAGTTATATGCTTATGATAGAATGTAGTACTTCTTGATTTGTGATTGAAGGTATTCACAAAATTAAATTGGGAGTTTCTATCCACAACCCTGATATTCCTAAATACAGCCCCAGATAGGTTAAATATCTAATTTGCCCTTTTGATTAACTAATGAAAGCTTATTGGACGGCATAGAGTTTTCAACCGGCAAATCACTTTCCTTGTTCGGCGACGGATTTCGAGCGAGACACCGGGATTATTGGAGAAAGACGGATGGTTTTGCTCGGATATAGGATTATCAAGGTGGCGGTGGATCTATTTCAACGCACACATGCAACAAATCGATCGACAACCTGCATACCCGATCAGACGATTTTGCTACAGAACAAGAAAGGAAGAACGAGTTCAGAGCAATTTCAGAGGGAGCGAGGACTACTCTTCTCAAGCAACTAAAGACAAGGTGGTATCTCCTTTTATATCCGACGCAGAACATATGCAGAGAATAGTGTGCTATTGCAAAACAGGGTGCAGAGAAGACGATGACTCAATCGACCAATGTGCTATTGGACAACAAAACAGAGCTAATGCTTCACGCCCACTTGACAGACCAGTAAAATCAGAAAACTTAGTATCGAAGGAAGGTTTTCAAAAGAAAATTGAGGGTCTCACTCATTGAGAATTTCCATTTTTTCCCCGACAGATCGATGCTGGATGAGGTCCCAAGCCAGGTTGAAGTTGCAGATTATTTCCAGGTGGGAACTTTGGTTTGAGTGGGCAAACCTTGGGATATTTTTACCACTCCAATCAAGAAACACATGAAAACTTAAAACATTCTTCATGCTTCAAGAAGGAACTGAAGATTTATAACGGATGATGATATATCAGACATGGATGAGGGCTGTGTTAAGTAAAAGGGTAGAATTGGAATTTGTGAGATGATTTGAACTTATCACGGAATAAAGGGCTGTGTTTAGGAAAACTGTGGCTGTTAATAGAATTAGCCATTAAATTTCGCCATCTTTTCACTATCCTTCGAGAGTAAAATTGACTAAAACTATTTTGACCGGCCCAACTACTTAAAAATTAAAATGTAAGAGCGTATTAGGAGAGATGGGCGGAGGAAGTAAAAAAAAAGGGAAATTCTATGGTACCCTCCTAATTTCCTAAAGAGTAAAGAGTTAGTTTGGTCCTTGAAGTTGCATAAAACGGGTTAAATGAGTCCTTATATAGAAGATTCTGTCCGGACGTGCCATTTGAGGTGGTTCCCGGTGGAATTTTTTGATAATTTTTTTTGAGCATCTTATTCATTAAGTCTAGTTTACTCATACCAAATTTCAGCTAAAAATTCAATCGGGATGACATTCAAATGAATTCCTGAAGATAACTACGCTTTTAACTGCACAGTTATCTTCAAGAATTCATTTGAATGTCATCCCGATTGAATTTTTATCTGAAATTTGGTATAAGTGAACTAGGTTTGATGAATAATATGCTCAAAAAATTTCATCGAAAAATTCCACAAGGAACCGCCCCAAATGACGACGGCCAGATAGAACCTTATATATAAGGACTTATTTGACCCCTTTTATGCAACTTCGAGGATCAAAGTATAAAACTGACCCTTTACTCATTGAGAAATTTACCATACGTATGACTAAAGGTGAATGTTTTTTCTAATATATGACTAGGTGAAGTTTTATTCCTATTCTATTACCCGCACATGATTATCCATTAGTTTTTTTAATATTAAATTAAAAGAGAAACGTATGCGCATACATTCACTAGTGGTCATATAACCGTAAATGTAGTTTTCCAGTCATACTATGGGAAACTACCCATGTTTTAGTAACATTCTCATAATTTTCCCTTACTCATTTCCTAAATAAACAATGTTAGCAATTGATCTTATTCAATTGAAAGTATATTAGTCTTTCCAATTCAAGCTCAACTTCTTTTAACTGTCAGTTAAACATTACTGACCATGGGTTTATTAACTGCTTAACAAACATAATTACATCTTTATTATGGAGTAGATGACAATTAAAATGTACATTGTATCTCTAAGGGCGTATGGTTACATATAGTGATTGGCCTTCCCAATATTAGATGAAAATGATTTTAACTTGTGCAGAAATAACACTTTCAATAACATCAAATCAGTTGTGAATAAATACAACTTTCAGGCCTGCACATTCTCATCACTTTGAGTAAGAACATGCAACTTTGTTACAATTGTTGAGAAGTATTTAAGTTTTTCTTTGAAGGAAAAACAATGGCTTGGATTCAAATGGTGACCATCAAAGAATGTTCCAAATCTCCAACAAGAAGCAAATGATGTCCGAGAGGAATTCTCCGTGTCCCGATCTCATCAACGACACTCAAATGCTTGCAAACATCCACACTGAACCTCACAACCTCTTCTTCATTTGCTCCCAAATGCACCTTCTCGAATACCAACAGTTGTTTGACAGGTGCATTGTGAACCTGGGGAGACTTGGAGAATAACATAATAGTGTGGCTTCCCTTCATTTGTCCTGAGTTCTTGACCTTAAGATGAATATCGAATTGTGAATTCTTACATATATTTTCTGCAGCCCTGACTGACTTGCATTCTGAGGTACGACAAGCATGGTCTTCCGATAAGAGAAGTGAGACTGACTCTGGTACACTTTGGACCATGCTGTGGGTGAAGCTGGTGTAAGACAACCCGTATCCATATTCAAAAACCTTCTCACCCTTATAGAACCGGTAAGTCCTGCCCGGGTAGCCGGAACTTTCATCTGCTCTCATTCTCATGTCTAACATGCTCACTTTGTTTGCATATGATTGTGGGTACCATGTCATTGGTAGCTTGCCACCTTAACCAGCAGAATAAATGTATACCAGTCAATAATATGGTTGGAAACTTGGAATGCAGAGGGTCTAATCCATTCTTTGTAAGGAGAAAAATCACAATCAGGAGTAAACTGTTACAAAGACCCTCCCTAAATAACACAAAAACTCCTTTGGTAACATTTATAAGCTTATTCATTTTACAAGCCAAAATAAGTAGCTGCATTTGACTTATTAAACCAGTTATTTTATTCTACCATTTCTTTTTTGAGTTTTTTCCTTTGTTGAACATAGAAAGTTATGTGCCCGTTTGTTAGCCATATAAGTCATTCTTTTACCAAATACTCCGTATTAATTTTTATTTGGCACGCTGAATTTCCTATATTGGCTGAATTGACTAAAAAACAACTTTTTTTGTAGTTTTGGTCAAACAACATATGCCAAACATGCTCAAAAATCGAAAAGAAATGAATGCTCAGTTGCTCACCTGGACAGTGTGCACCAGAAATCACATCTGCAATGGCTAATCCACCAGCCTCACCAGGGAATCCCACCCAAAGGATGCTTGTTACTTTGGGGTCATCGACTGCAAACTTGACATCCATGCCACCTCCAGACATTATAACTAGGATTACTGGGCCCTTGGCAACCTTAGCAACCTCAGACACTAAAGTTGACTGCTGTCCAGGAAGAGTGATGTTAATTCTATCAAGAGATTCTCTCTCAATGGTTTGATCTGAACCCATTACAAGAACCACTGCATCAGCACCGGTTGCAGCTTTCTGGGCTTCCTCAATCTGGGGTGTGACACATGCTGCATCGCTGCAACCCGTAGAGTAAACAATATTTTTATAGGCTGCTGTTAGGCCTTGTAAAGGACTTGTGTACTTACATGGAGTCCCTGCAAAAAAATCATCATACTAAATAAGTTAAATGCCCAGGAATCAAGGTGCTTTTGTTTAAAACCACCCCCTGCTTTATGTCCAAAGAATGAATTGAGTGGTATAGGAAGGAGAATTTTGGAAAAGAAATTCAATGTGTATAAATTGACTAATGCAAAGGAACACTAAAATATGTCAACTTTAGTGAACTGAGAGAATGCAATAGCGCTCACTACTATAAAATGAATGGTGCTGGCGTTGCCAACTATATGACTCTACTCAGATTCATATATGCCTCTTTACTATTTTTTTTTAATTTACATTCGTCCTAAGGAAAGAACAGAATTTGTTTTCTGGTCTTGGATCGCATTCCTACTTATAGCTTTAAAATTTGTTCTCGGGTTTGACTGAATTTCTCTCAACGATTTCCTTACAGCTTACAGAAAATTGCATGAAAAATAATTCCTGTTTTATTTCTTCATGGGCTTATTATAAAGAATAATTAACTAAAACATTATAGAAACTAAGGAGAGTTACTTATTTTATTCAGTATTGAAAAAAAACTTCCCCTATTCTCACGTATTTGCAAGAGCTTGACTTACCTTACGCGATTTTCAACTCACAACTTTGACCATTAATAAAGTTGGTTGGCTATTCTAAAAAAGGCACTTTGAAATATTATATTGAAATAATTGTAACCAGTGATAATATTTTTCATAATATAGTTTGCTAATGCATTAATAAATAAAATGATACCAAACTACACTATCCAAAGAATGTATATAAAAGATTAGTTTCATATAAAAAAACAATGGCTTATAAATGTGAACAAATCGACCAAATTTGGAAGTTCTACTAAAAAGATCAGAGAGAACAGAGAAGTATAAAATAGGACAAGTAGGGCTTTGAAACTGGTGAAACTTTTTTTATAGAATGGATTGACTATGTGAAATAGAATATGTTTTTATGATAATTACCTTCATAATTGCTAATCATGGTTTTGGTTGCCATGGCATTGGGGCCAATTACAGCCAAGGACTTTATAGCAGTTGTTTTTAAAGGCAGTGATTGGTCACTGTTTTTCAGCAACACAATGCCTTGCCTTGCTGCTTCCCGCGCAAGTTCTTGGTTTTCTTGAGTGCATACATCCTTAGGACCAAGGTCTTTTCCATATTTTTGGTTTTTAGGATTGCCATCAAAGAATCCTAGTCTCATTAGAGTGGCAAAATTGTTTGTTAGAGCCCTATCAATTTCAGATTCCTTTACAAAGCCTTTGTTTATTGCCCCTTGCGTGTACGTGCCCAAAAAATTTCCACAGTTAAGGTCCACTCCTGTAACACAAAAAAAGTTAGGAACTCGTTATTTTATTGCTAGAATTGGGTAAATGTTTAATATCAACTGCAGAGTTTCAAATAGTCTCACCTGCATTCAATCCTAGAGCCGCAATTTCTTCTTGTGTTTTATTATTGTAATGCTGATTTTTGTAAATCACATCAAATGAGTCACAATCTGTAACAATGTATCTGAAATATATATACATAAAATACATATTCTGGTATTAGCATTCTTTTTATGTCTTATTTGTGCAAACAAATAGACCAAAATAATTTTCAATACTATCTACAATGACATACTTATTTAGGATATATTTGGTTGAATTTGTTCTTCTTGTTGGCTGAATTAGTTTTTAAGTTTATTAAAGCGATCCTTTTGAGTGCATTCATTATTTAAAAGGCTGTAGAATGAGAGTATTTAAGTCGTATCAGATATGTTAAGTGTGTTGACATTTTAGCTGTATTTACCTAGAAATTACTCTCTCATAGTCTCATTTATTTATTAGTTGTCCCTATAAACAAATTGATTAAAAGGTGGAAAATTAAGAGTGGTAATGTAAACTATGAGTAAAAGTAGGGGTAAAACTCGTCCAATTACAAAATGAAGCAAATAACAAGAACCTTCCCAGTAAAGCAATACACAAAAAATTAATAAATCCAATTTGATGAATGAATGTGTTAACTACTCTGTATAATATACTCTATTCATTATAACTTTGTCATATATTCTTTTTTTTGTTGTCCCAAAAATATTGTCTCTTTTCCTTTCAAGCAATCACTTTGTGATTCATACTACTCCGTATTTTTTTTCTTCTACGCAAACCTCAATCACACAATTTTTACTTTATTATGCCGTGATCGATCATAATTGTTCAAGGATGTAGGTAGGGTTGGCCTGATCAGACTCTGGCGGATCTCAATTTGAAAAATGCTTGTACAAGATGTGTAAAAATTCATCTGAAAAAATCGTTGGGTCGGCCCACCCCAATTTTTACCCCTCCCTAGGCTTCTAAACTTGTCAAATTTGTAAGGGATAACAGCAGTGGTATATTGAATGAGTAAAATGGGACTTATAGAGAGTAAGTGATAATTTGGTTCCACTTTGACTTGGTCTAAGACTAAATTGAGTAAAATGGAGTATAGTGAGCAATGAGAATATGAGATGCTCAGTTACCCATTCAAATGCCAAGCATCCCTGATGGTCCCTTTTAGAAGTTTAGGGTCACCACAGGTCGGTACGCCATCGACCTGGTTGTAAGAACACATCACACTTGCAACATTTCCTTCAACTACACAAGCCTCGAATGGAGGCTGGAATGTGTCATCCATATCTTGCTCTGTTACCTATTTCATCACCCAAAAAAAACTTTTGCTTCTAAAAGACACTCCATAATCCATATTAGACAAAAATTTATCATAAATAAATGTGAAAATGGGACGTTTTCACTAAACAGGAGTATTATGTTTTTCTCCGAAATAGGTCTAACTAAGTACTGCCAATTTGAAGAATGTCATTCATACAACCATATTAATGGCTGATAATGTCATCTACAATGTTTAGAGGAATTGTCTTACTTTTACTCTTGTTTTGGGAAACTTCTCTTTTAATTTCTGGGAGGAAATGCAAATTACTTAGCATTAATCAAATCATAACTCAAAAGATTGGAAAGTAAAGATACCACTGCATTGAAATTGTATCTCTCGGTGCCCTTCCAGTTATCGACATCATAAGCAGTATAATGTTTGCAGCAAGCTGCAACTTTGAGCTTATCCTCTTTATCGTTGCCGCCGTCCCACTCCTGGAGGCCTTTAACATATTGTACTCCGAAGGTGCCGGAGAGGGAAGGATCTTCCCCGGGAGTTTCCTGGCCTCTTCCCCACCTAGGGTCTCGGAAAATGTTCACATTTGGAGACCAAAACGTCAGCCCCGCCAACCCAACATTGTACATTGCTCGCGCCTCCGTGGATACCACCTGCACCATTAGATCAATTTCAATTACAAATTTCATAAGAATGTTTAGAAATTATTACCTGTCCCACTAACATTAGCATGAAAGGGTATTCAAAAAAATTAAAAAAATTAAACCAGAGAAATGACATGATTATTAAGAAAAGTGAGTTTATGTGATTGATATTGAGTTGATAAAGAAAGAATAAAGTAAAACTAATTTAGAACCAAACAAATTTTATCAAATTTGATATGGAACAATCTTAATGGGATTTCCAAAAAATGTAAAATGGGATAATATTAGCGGAGTGAAGGGAATAGCACTTCAACAAAAAAATTAGCAATTTGACTCTAGCGTTTTCAAATTGAAACGTTGTTTAGTAAATAGTAGTTCAATCCTAACATTGTACTAATTATTGTGGCCAAATAATCGAGAGGTTAGGGAATTAAAATACGGAATGAAGATGTTTCGAATTGTGACTTGAACGTCTTGTTTTATTTGTAATATATTGTGATCGAATTTTGGCTGGTTTGATTGGTCTAATCTTATTTAATTAAATTTAGTTTAATTTGATCTAATACAATCTCATTGATCTTGTCATCTTGCTATAGTCAGTTCGCCGCTTTTGTGACCATATTTTGGCCAAGTTTTGTTCATGGCGATGCAAGTCTTCTTTGGTTGAACTTTCATTAGTCCTTCCCTTGTTGAAATGTAAAGTTTGACTTCTAACAACATAAAATCAACTCTACTATTTGTATTCAAGGTGTTTGGAAGTGACGCTGCTTCTGCTTCTTTTTTAAAGTAGAAGTATAATCAGAATTAGTTTTCAGAAGCTCGTCCCTCCATCTTCTAAAAATATTGATTCTATGAGTAAATTAGGCTTTGTTTGCAAACAATTAATTTAAGTGCTTTTGGTTTTTTTTTTAAGAAAAAAACACTTATTTTACTAAACAATACGAACTTTTACTTTCTCGGATTTCGTGTAGAATCTACTTTTTACTTTTTCTATTACGCAAAAAGCACTTATTTTACTAAACACTACCAACTTTTACTACTAATCACTTTTTCCCAAAAAGTATTTTTATTTAAGCACAATCACTTGCAAACAGAGCCTTAGAGAACCCGAATCACTTCTGCACTTTCACCTAAACACTCTAACTTCTGATTATGCTCCCTAAAGGAGCAAAAACAGCTTTAAGAATCAGATCCAAACACCCCCTCACTCTTATATACTTATTTACATAGACAAAATAAAATATGTTTTGTTTGTAAACGAGATTTACACATAAAAAATTTGAAAGATGATAGGTATAAAAGTGACTATAAGTAGTTTCTTAATATGAAATTTGACAAAGACAATCATTGAATTTACTTGGTTTGCCTTTAGAAAAGATACCATTTTTTAAGATCTCATCATCATCAAAATAAAAGTTATCAATATTTTAATATAACTACACGTATAGCTTTAAAATAGCACTCCGAACTTATTTATCCCACTTGATTCTCACATATTATCCACGTCACCTGATATTTCCTCATCCAACTTAATTCATTTCAACTTCTAATTCTATACAATAAATTGTCTCAATTTCAATTCTAATTTTGCAATTCAACAGAAAGTTCTTGAGAACATGTAAACTTGAATTACAAAAAACATCTATACTTCATAGTTAAACATTCAAATTTTATAATTAATCAAATACGGAGTATCATAAATTGCACAAAAAAAAAATTACTCCGTAAGATACTCCATAAGTGTTATCAGTCAGGCCGGTTGACCATGTAAAATCAAAGAGCGAGTCCGGTGCAGTTTAATTTGCAGCGTATAAGACGTGACACTCCAAATCGAATAAAGCATATGATTCGGATGCTGAAATACTTCTTACCTGACCAATTCTTCTAAATAAATCTCTATTGAAAGAAGCGGCGGTGAGAATGGGCGCCGGGAAGCTGGTGGCGCCGGGGACCAAACTACTGAACTTAACCCCCGGACCAATGTACGACACGCCGTGCAGCGCCTCCGACCACCACTCATACGCCGGAATCCCCAGCCTTGCAACGCCGACGCCTTTGTTCCCCAGAAACGTTATCTTCTCCGACAATGTCAGACTGCCCACCAAATCCTTCACCCTCGTCTGGACATCTAAATCCTTGTTGCAGAATGGCCGGCCTTCCTTCACCGGAGCAGAGTTTTCGTCGCAGGCGTACGGCGGTGAATTGTTCTGAGCTGAAACCAGAGGATTTTTATTGAAATCCAATAGAACAGGACAGATAGTGAAAATGAGAAGGAAATGGAAACAGAGTAAAACAGAGCATGGCTGGAAAGATAAAGTGGGGGGTGCCATGGATGATGTATGTTTCTGGGGTTGGTGTGATGAAGGGGATATATGCTTTTATACTGATTGGGAAAAAATAATTCTTGCGAAAGTGGAAGAAAGATGAACATGGATATAAATTGTTTTATAGCGACCCGTGATGCATAAATAAAAAGTAAATGGGTACATGTAAGGAAAATAATTGTCTATTCTTTTCAAAAAAAAAGGATGATAGCTCATCCCTAAGGGAGAATGTAAGTTGGATTATAATCCCAACCTGACCGATAGAGAGTGGAGCTCCGTCCCCGATACTTGCAGAGGCCCTATGCATTTTTCAGCATAGTAACCCTTTATCGCAGTTGTCGGGATTCGAACCCGAGACCTAACCCTTGTGACACTCTTTCGCTACCAGTTGAGCTACGCCCACCGGTTGTGTATTCTTTTTCTGGTTCAAGTTTTCTTGGTCTTTCCTCTCCTCCCCACCAATGTACTAGTACAAGTCTAAGATTTCAATTTTATTTAATCCTTATTTAATACACAGCACTAAACTATAAGTATATAGTCTATGCATATTCATACATAGCTACGCACTTCTTTCCTCTCTTAAGATTTAACCAAGTTTGACCAGTACCAGAATTAATAAAATCAAAATCATGTAATTGAGTTTTTTGGAGAATAAAGGAATTAACTAGAATAATAAATTGTTTTATTTATTATTTAAAAAGAAAAATGACAAAGTTAGTGAGATAATAAAATTGAATGTTGGCAAAATTTTATAGGACGAATGAAGTTCATTATTTCCGATTCTAAAAAAATGAGTCTTCTCGAAAATAAAAATAATCATTTTTACATTAAGTCATTGCGTGATTATGTTTCATACGTAGTATGATGCAAATGTTTTTAGGTGAGGGGTATCATACTTTACAAATACATAAAGATGTCGTACTTATCATACATTTCATCGGTCATCTCATCGTTTATAAATATTTAAATCGTTCAATTTTAACACTTTAACTGATCTATATAAACAATGTACTATAACTTGTGGATACCTTGAAATTTGCCTTTTTAAAAAATCTAATTGAACCTGCTCATTCTCATTTGCATCATTAAATTAAAATAGCATTTGATCCAAATTTCAATACATATGTCTGTATATGTTATTAAATCTTGAACATGTTGTGGGTTTACTACAAAGGATTTCCCACACTTCGCCTAAGAGGAAGAAATTGATGGGCATTTGAATCACAATTTATTATTATTAATAAAATGAGATGAGATTTTGAACTATTGGCGTAACAACGGGAGCCAAACTCGGGCTTGAGCCATCCAAATCCTAGGAAATGCTTTTATTTTTATTTATTTACAAATATTTATAAAAACGTTTTTTTTCTTCTCCCACCATATACGCGTAGTTGGTTGAAGAAAGATCGACGTGCCATGGGGCCCAATTGCCCACACGGGCCTCCTCGGTTTGGTAAAATCGTTTACTTCAAGCTTCGTGAATCGCCTGGGCCCCAGGTGCCCCACTAAGACCGGATTAATTATACGGAGTATATAATTAAATATGAAAAATGCAAAAGTTTATCGTAAAAATATTGGGAAAAAGTTAAATACTCGGGGCTATAGCTTACCATAACTCTTGTCTCATGATAAAATTAAGTACTTAACACGAGTAATTAGGACGACAATAAATTTTGGCAAAATTTGGTAAAAAATATAGAGCCATTTTAACAAAATAGTAACATAAATTTTAAAATTGTATGAATATCAAAACAGATTAATTTTTTTTTGTAATAAGAGACTTATATTGATAATAAAACATTCAGCAGGGGACAAAAGAGATAAAGGAAACATTTCCAGTCATCAACCCTCGAACGAGCTTCAGAACCAACCACCCTAAACAGAGCAATATGGTTCGCTTGTCCTGTAATGGGTCTAAATGAGTCAAATGTGGCCAGAGCAAAACCCTAATCACCCCTACCTAATGTAAGAGTCTGACAGATATAAACGCATGTAACAATCAAAACAAGATGAAGATCTAAGTAAAAACACAAGCAAACCAAAACAAACATAGAGATAGCCTTCCAAACCCTAGTCTCGCGATTCTTCCATGGCGGCGGTTCAGGAGGGGGGCGAATCAACATCTCTTCATCTTCTTTCGCCCATACAGGATCACCCCCACTGGCCCTGAAATTCTCCGATCCCCAATCATTCGCCCCCCTCATAATCCCGGCTAAACACTGCTTAGTAGCAGGAACGTCGAGGCCCCTTCCGACCCAGGTTGCGATGCTCATGACCAAACTCGGAAAACCTTCCTTTGCCGAGCCCCCTACCCGAAGAAAAGTGGGGCGAAGCAATCTGCCACCTGCAATCAAAACTAAACACCAAGACCAACGGCTGTTTCAACCAAAACGAAACAAACTCTAGGCCAAAGCCTTCCTCAGCCGATCACAAAACTAAGCTAGCGATCACTCCCTCCACTCGCTGAAATACCCAAACCCTAATTACCTAGGGAGACGGCCGCTTAAATGTCAATATTACTTTACAGCCAAAAATAGATTAATTAAAAATGGAAAAATAAAGAATCAATATTAAAAACCAAAATATAGAATTAAAAATGTAGACCATAAATTTAATTTAAAAATGCAATTTATTACAGCTTTTGGCATTATAATTTTTTTTACATTTTCCTGACATTTTTTAATTTTCTCTTTTTTTTGTGAAGTAAATGTATTTATATTATACGAAGTATTTTGTATGGAGACAACTAAATAAATAAATAGTGCAAGTGTAAAGTCATATTTGGTTGTAGTTTTTTTTAAAGAAAGCTAATTTATGTACTTTTAAAGTCCGTTTATTCAAATCATTAGATTAAATATAATTTTCACTTCTATGATTATATAACATTAAGAGGTGAATTTAAAATAATTTATCCATTGACTTTCATTTTTTATTTGTATTTCTATTTTTTATAATAAAAATTTTCTGATTAGTATATATATTCATTTTCCCAACAAATACTCTTTATTTAGACGACACTTGAAAGCAGTGACATTTTTGCACTAACTTTATCAGGGTATAACATTATACTACGTATTTTAGAACAGTATAGTAGAAGAGATTTAAGAGAGTGAATATGAAATAAGAGGAAGTTTATTCGGACATTTTCCAGGAAATTTACATAATCATTTTTAGGAATGTAGTTGGTAGAAGCGTGATCTAGGTCTACTCTTGAGACAGATACTAAATTAAGATCTGACTTAGGTACTTGAGGCCTTATACATTTTTAATTAATAATCTGTTGTCACACATTTTTAATTTAGGATTCAAACCCGAAATTTATCTTAAACGGTGACACTCCTAGTGGAAGGAAGGTAGGTGGGGCATGTGGGATTAGGGTGAAGACGTCCTGTTTATAGGATTCTCTTTATAGTATACTAAATTCAAAGGGGTTTAATGGGACGAGAATCCGTGAAGAGTTTTACCATTTTCTTCTGTATTTGGATTGGAATTTTCTTGCAGTTGCAGATAGAGAGAGATTGCGCATGGACTCGTTTTTAAGCATTTTATGGGCCACCTTAATTGGTCGTGAGGGACATGTTTGGCAGAAATGAAAGTGGGTGAAATTATTGAATCTAAATTGGCACAAATGATTAATATTGAAGAGGGAAGAAATAAATTTGGGCAAGATCGTCCAATAAATGAGCTGGAATGGTTAATGTTGCAATTGTACGATTTGTACCTGCAGAAGTAAGTATTGTTGAAATTACCGAATAAAGAGGCTCAAATGGTCAAATATTTCAACTGAATTATGTGAATAAACTTGTTTTTTTTCTGACTATTGGTATTGAAAAAGATTGAATTTGTTGAATCTATTGATATTAATTAAATTATGACCACAGTGATTGAATTTGTTGAATTGTAAAAAGATTATATTTAAAAAATATGTTATATAACACTACGTAATAATGAAAAATGATGAAAAATAGCTAACTTCAGCCAATCAGAAGTGATTATGATCTTATTTGTTTTTATTATTATACAATTCATGTATAATAACAAATGTTATGTGTTTGATAAAAAAATGTTGACTCATAATTTTTGTGTGGAAGTTTGGCTCAAAAAACGGGAAGGGGGCGGGTTTGGGTTTCGAAACCCGTCAAGATGTCTGAAGATCTTTGTTGCTACGGGAGGACACTGGAGTTCATTTGGGCTTCTTAGGATTCAGTTTACTTTCCACGATTTTACTGTCGTTTTGCTCTTATTTTTTGTTTTGCTCTATTCTGTTTTTGTTGTCACTGTTTTGTTTTGCCAGACTCTTACATTAGGCTGGGGTGATGGGCAGCGGTGGAAGCAGGATTTCCCGGTAGCAGGGGCCGTAGTACAAAAATATACATACAAATACATATATATTAAAAATTTCGGGGTAAATATACCTAAAATGTTTTTTTGGAGGGACAGCAGCCCCACTTTGTGTCCGCCACTGGTGATGGGGGTTTTGCTCTGGCCACGATAGGCTCATTTAGACCTGTTATAGGATTAGCGAATCATATTGCTCTATCTAGAGTGATTGGTTCACAGGCTCGTCTGAGGGTCAGTGGCTGGAAGTGTTCCCTTTATCTCTTTTGTCCCTTGCTGAATGTTTCTATATCAATATAAGCCACTTTTTTCCAAAAGAAAAATTGATAAGCAGAAAAAATGAATTACCAAACGGCTCAATTTTATCTCAATAAATAATACTCCCTCCATCCCATTTATATTGTCCCAGTTCCTATTTACTTGGTCAATACAAATCACTCTTAATTTCTTACTTTATAATTTATATATAAAAAATTTATCAAATTTGATTCAGGTTTTTGCGACTTTGTAAAGTTTTAAATGTAGTTTCTGAATATGTATTTTTTCCCTAAAAATAATTTGAGTAAGAACAGGTATCTGTTTGCTTTATCGTCGGTCAAACATCGTAAACCGTAAAGAGACAATATAAATGGGATGGAGGTAGTAATAATAACTCACAACCTTATCACTATGTGATGTGAAATCTGTCTAAAGCTTCGCTTTTATATATTTTGTGTGAATTATGCATGCTAGTTAATTTATGAGA